CGGCTCGTCGGCGGCGTCCGCGGCGGTGGCGCCCTCTGCATGCGGCGAGCCGTCGTTGCGCACGAGCACGATGCTGCCGTTCAGCATCTGCTGCAGCGAGAACTCGTCGGCGCTGTACGGCCGGCCGGCATCGTCGCGCAGAGCGCCGAACACCTCGCTGTAGAGGCTCTCGTAGCGGCGCTCATACGCACGCAGGTCCTCCTCCACCGCCTTCTTCTCCTGCAACGACAACAAGCCACATGTGAGCAGGAAGGGGGAAGCCCAGCAGACGACCAGCAGAGGGGTAGCCTAGCAGAGGAGGGAGACAAGCAGGGGAGGGGGAGATCAGCAGAAGGGGAAGACCAGCAAGAGGAGCGAGACCAGCAGAAGGAGAAGACCAGTAGAGGGAGAAGCCCAGCAAGGGGGCAGCTTAGCAGGGGGAGCAGCCCAGCATCCTACCCCGAATCGCAACACCCTCCATCATACATCAAACACCCGCCATCATACCCTGCACACAACAGCCTCCCTGACTACCCGCATCACAACACCCACCGTAGTATCCTGCACTGCATCCCCACGCCGTACATCAAACACCCGGATCGTATACTGCACACTACAGCCCCCGTACTAGTACTACCCCTAATTCACAACACCCACCATCGTACATCGAACACCCGGATCGTATTGAGATACGAGCAAACCCGTCAGTGCTCAATTTTCACACGACAACCACATCCCAGCCGACTTCCAGTGCAGGGGCATTGACAAAAATTCAACCCCCCCCCGACCAACCCCATACGATCCGCATCAGAAAGAAAAGAGAAGCCTGCTGGATTCACAATCTAAACACTATCCAGCCATACGGACTCAATCTACGAGTAGAGATTGCGAGATAGATAGAAGATAGTAATAACCCTCCCACCAGCATAGTATATATATACGCAAATCCCTCGAGTACGCAAGGCTAATTCTCAGCCGACACTCTAGGGTAGCGGGCGATCTTTCTACAACTTTTATAGTTACAAATTAAGTCGCGTCGATTTTCGTGTTTTACGAATTCGAAGTTGTGTACTGTAATTTTACTTATCTGTGTTCATACATCGTACTTTACTGCCACCTAGATTAATTCCTGAGACTTGGTACAAGTATATATATGGGTTTCGTAAACAGTATCTACCAAACGAGATAATGACTATCTCCCTGTTCTATCCATTTTTTATAAAACAAGATTTCGTCGACGTCCTCTTTATTTCTTCTGCGTGTAGGCCTACTTCGTTGATCGATTTTTACGATTTCAATAATCACTGGATGGGGAACGGGGGTCGATTCCCAGTTTACAAGCTAAAAATATGTTATTTCCTAGGTTCTAGCTGTTATAGTCTATTTCCTAGGTCCCGGTTGATCAAATTGGCCATTTCGGTTTCCTGTATCCCCGAATATATTGGCATTTCCATTCCCGAATCGCGAAAAATTTACCTGGTATTTCCCGAATCCCGGATACCGCATCCCGAAATTAACCCCCCCCCCTCCGCCGCTGTCTAGCCACGCCATATGCCAGCTACATGCATGCATAGATATATGCAAACACAAGATGGGTTTGTATAATATCTATGATGCATGGCGGTAACTTCAGACACATCGATAGAGCTCTACGAACCTAGCATGGGAAGAACCCTGTGGGGAAATTATTTATCATTGTGCACGATGATCAAACAGAACATATTCACAGTTCCTCTTCATTCTTTGTCCCGCCGTGCACGAATCGTTAAAGCGCGACCAGCCGAGTGCATACATGTAGTGTAAGTGCCTTTCACGGTTCGCCGATGCCCTACAGAGTGCCCAGCCGAACCATGGCCGACCGATACACACACACACCTGTACACAGACGTAGGTGCTGTTGTCGTAATACGGCGAGATTGGTGTGTCCTTGTAACGACAGCTAAAGGTGTATACAATCCAACCAAATCTCAACTACGGCGAGAAACCGAATCGGCTGTCATGCAGACGTCCGCGCTCGTCAGTAGTGCGTAACAGAGAGGATTAGTAAACAGACGCCGGAATCTTTTTTCACCTGAAGCTCGCCTGGTGTGCATGGCCCCATTGATCGGAAAGAGTTTCTCGTTTTCGTTACTGGATACGGCCGCGCGCACACACGCACGCGTATACACACACGCGCGCACGTACACACCCGCACGCGCGCGCGTACAAACACGCACGCGCGCACGTACACATATGCAAGCACACAGGTAAAATGCGAAATAGAAATCTAGAAATACCGTGTATTACGTGGGTGGCATGGGCAGACAGCGTAAGACACCGTAGTTATATATTTCTGTTTTACATTCGTATATATTATACATTTTAGGTATGCCTTACTTCATTGGTGCTTGTTATTCTTCATTATGCTGGTCGTAATATATAGTATATATATTAATATATATTTAGTGCGAATATTGTGAATTTTTATATTCCTATATATTTTCATGGGTGTCCGTGTTTTGACTGGTACCCGGTCGACAGTTCCACACGCTACACTAACAGCGTCAGTGTAGCCAAGGATACTTGCCGGAGTGAAGGTGGCGAACGGGTACCAGTCTAGCATCAGGCGGGCATTTCATTATTTACGAAAAGTAAACACAGTAGGCTTAGCTACAGGAACTGTCCACGTCGATGACGCCCCATTTATGCCCATCAACGAAGAAGGCGGGGCTTATTCTGATTACGGAGATGCGAAAATGCAACAGAATGACGTAGCGCCGTGCGCTAAACAGCGTGTTATTTTGGTTTTTGTGCCAAACTCTATCGTAGGAAACCGTTCTAGCCTAGCAGAATGCCCTGGTTCCTGAGATCGGCGATTCCGTGCTCTAATGGTATTATACCTAGAAGTTATAATAGAGAGGTGCAGCGTAGACTGTGATTGGAAGAGACAAAGTGTCAATCCTCGGCGCGCCTCGGCATCATGGCCGCATCACGTCAAGAGTACATAATAGAGAGGACTATATTTAGTCTATTATGTACTCTTGATATATATATATAGTGTCACATATATATGCATGCGTCAGTGTGCGGCAGCGTGAGTGCGGTGTCACAGTGCGGTGTGCGGTGTGTTGCAGAGGAGCATTTGCACGTCATTTACAGGAAATTGTCGGCAATAATAGGCGAATGAGAGTAGAGAATAATTTGTTTGTAAATGAATTTCGTATTTATTTAGCATAACATTTTATTTAAACGCTCCAAGTGCATGTGTGCATGCCAGGGGCGTAAATCCCGGGGGGGGAGGATGCATCCCCCCGCTCTTGAAGGAGGGGGGGGATGGCCTGTACAAATATCCCCCCTAAGATTCAAAAAAAAAAGAGAAAAAAAAGAATAGCCAAAAAGTATGGTTGCAAACATATAAAAACACGTGAAATTGTGAGAAATTGCAATTCTTACCTGTGTTTTAATACATGTATTATTACTATAGTAACCTAACTGTGTAAGCTCTCTGAAAAGTCATGAAAAGTGTTTTGAATCCTAACTTGTAGGGTTGAGTCTAGGGTTGAGATAGTGTCATCAGACATGAGAATATGGCTTAAATATTTCAAAATTTTCTGGGGGGCATGCCCCCAGACCACCCTAGCACTGGCATGCCTACTGCACGCGGGCCTGCCTGCGGCAGCCAAGTATAATTTCGCCCCCGGCTATCGCCGATCATCCCCCCCACCACTCCTCGGTACGGATTTACGCCCCTGGTGCACGCGCACCCTTAAAATACATATCATGCACCAGAGATATAAACATACACAACACCAACGCCTTTCTTTTTCGTATCTTGGATTATTTTAAGAGATAAAAGACCTTAGCTACAATATAGAACAAAGTACAGAGATTAGATAGTATATATACATAAAATATGATAGGCATATGGTGCTATAGTTTGTCGCCGGCTGGATAATATGAGAATGCAGTTTTGTTGACTCAAGAAAGTTTTATTTCACATTAAAAAAAATTTATATGTACAAAGAAGAAAGAAATGATAGTTTCAGAACCTTCTCGAAATGGCATTTCGAAAATGCTACAGCCTCCGTCCCATCCCGAATCACAACACCCACCATCGTACATCCGACACCCGAATCGCACGTACTCTGCACGCTACAGCCTCCGTCCCATCCCGAATCGCCGCCTCCCCCTCCCCCCTCGCCCCACCGCGCGTCGTGCGTACCCTGCGCAGGCTGTTGCGGGTCGACCGTAGCTTGCCGACGACCGAGCCCAGGTCGACGATGTTGTCGAGCTTGCGCTTGCGGCAGCTCTGCGCCGCCGCCTTGTTCTTGCCGCGCCGGCGAACGTCGCGGATCACCGTCAGCTGCACGTCGGTGAGATCCGGGTGCGCCTGCAGCAGCCGCGTGAACTCGTCGATCGGCAGGTGAACGATCTTGCCGATGCTGAATGGCACGTTGAGCGCCTGGACGCGCTTCTCGTCGCGTGACATCAGCGCCCCCTGCCGCTTGGCGACGGCGGCGCGCTTGTCGCGGGCCGACGCGGGCCGCGCTCGCGGCTGCTGCGGCCAGCCGCCCTGCGGAACCTGTGCGCAAGACAAGCGAACATCAATCATGCTTCCTGCTGCCGCCGTCGCGATAGCCAATCGCGATCGAACGCGCAGATGTGAGGGTCGTCTAAGGCAAATGCCAAAGTGTCCTTTACATGCATGTGTTTGTTTTATAAGGCAGTAAGTCTGCTAACCGGTTTGGGGATGTACGAGATGCTAGCATCCAAGACGTCTGACGTGAATTCTAGACTCTCTAAGAGATGCTTGCGACCGATTATCCCCAATCTCCACCTCGCATGCAACTTACGCGAGCATCTTTATTACATCAGCACTGACAATACAACAAGATCAAGAGCGTATTAAGAAAGAGAGCGTACAACGGTGAAATGCTGAAAACTTTGCCTTTTCTATTTTGATGATTCTTTGCAGTATTATTGATCAGCTGTCCTACCTTGCTAATATAAAACAAACCGCTTGTCCCTACGACGCCCCTACA